AATATGCATCAATTCTGTAGTAGCAAGGTCGAGTTACAACAGAATGAATACTAATTCCGAGAGTACACTCAGTCGACTTACAGGCAATGGACCTAGTGAATCGATGCGATTCACGTTATTTATTTTATCTTGAACTTTGAATTTCTAGCAAAAAAGTCTTCATGTGAATCCCAAAATCTAAGAAATTTATTGAATTCAAAACCATGCGGCCGAGTCCAGATAAATTATATACCATTCCGTGTAGGTTTTTCACGCTGATTCCAAATATGTGGTTGGCTTTTAGAAAAAGTAGTGTGAGAACTAGTAAAGCTCTAAAATACCTCAAAAAACCCAGGATTTTTGGAGACCCTATAACCCAGTACAGAAAGAGTTCTGTGTAATTTTCGACAGCGCTATTGTTTTTGGCCCAGTTTTATTAAGCGCCTTTTCTACTAAGATTGACACCTAGAAAAAAAAACTTCCAATGGCAGAGAGATAGAGCGTTTGCCGAAGTATATGACCTGGTATTCAAATTTCGAAACTTTCGACTTTCGTTTTTTTCACGAAAGCTAGCCTGGATGCGCACTGTGCATAGTAACAGAAAATGAAGGCGAGCAAATATCCATTTCTATCAACTAAACCACATTTCGCAAAGATACCGCCGAAAGCTTTATCCATTTATTGCAAATTATACTATTTGGACGTATTATTTGTTAGGCTTTTTTGTATGTACAAATGGTTACTGAGAAAGCAAAAACGCTGCAGTATCGCCATCCTTTTTAGGTCTGGTGATCTAACATTACTGAAAATTCCTTTGGATAGAAATACTAGTCAAAATCCATTTGGGAACTACAAAGAAAATGAACAGTGGGCAATGAAGTCTTATTTCAATTTATATTTTTTAATCAATGGTCAATTCATTGTATTATCTGAAATATTGGATTTTGCCTTTCAATAGATTTCACCTTGAAACGAGCTGTTTGGTTTTTAAGCGGGGTACTGAGCTATATGGCCATAATAATTAGCCTCCGATAAAGGACAACCATCATTGTTGTCGCCCCCCATTCCCCACCAGTTCGGGAAGAATATATTGTTACTTAATAATGTATAAATAGCAATGGAAGAAATTTGGACACCAATATCCATTGCAATTGAAAACAAAAGTGCATAACGTTCCCACCACCATTGTCTTATAATTGTATTAAACAAAAAGCCCACAATAAACCATGTGATAATTCTTCCAGCCGGCGGTACCGGATTCCCTATGGAAAAAATGATCGGAATATGCACGTAGTGTAGCCATTTGATATGTGGATATTTTTTGCTGACAAGCCAAAACGGAATGGGCAGTAAGCCACCGGCAAGTATCATCCAAAGCACATTACCCGTTATGGATAATCTCCCAATGAGTTGAGAATCACCTGTAGAATAAAGAAAATAGTTGAAGACATTGTATACAGAGAGAGTATTATCACTAACCTACGGCTGCTACAACAAACGGCTTTTTATTTATAATAGAGCATGTCCAGTCAGAATTTTCCAAACATAGATTTGGAACAGAATCTATAATGTAGTCGACAATTCCATATTTTATGATCACTGACACAATAGTTATTGATAATTGAACAATGAATAGAGTTCTCGATGATATTTTCATAAAATGCCCAAATTTGAAAATACTAGTTAAGAATAATGCTTGGATTATCGTTTCATAAGCATAAATCATAAATGACATTAGACCAACTGGATCGCCTTCGAAAATTTCCCCAGCTATCGTTCTTGCTACAAAAATTGGAAGAATCGGTATGGTTGTCATTGCCTGAACAATGCCAACGGGTAATACACATAAACACGCAAATGGAACGGCCACAAATAAATAATACCATGGCATAAAATGTCCAAACTTGCAAGCTATAATAGCTAAAATAAATGCAACAGAAAATACAACAATGTGCCACCATTCAGGCACCTCAGGATATTTTGCCATTAATGTACAATGTATATCATTTTCACGTTTTTTTAATGATGTTTGAAGGTATTGAATTATGTCTTTTCCGTGATACAGCACTGTGTGAACACTAAGCGAAGCTAATGCTGTAAATGTAATGTAATCTGTCATTGCTGTTGCACAACTGAGCACAATTGGTTTATGCATTTCTATATATGTCGCGTTAATAAGTTCGTTTACATTTTCTGTTAAATAATTTCCATCCGAAGTGAAGTGCCACCAAGTGATCCCAATTGGCACAGTTTTGAAATTAAACAAACCTGCAAAATAAGTAATCGGAAGCAGAACCCAAATTAAGCAAACAAATCCAACGAGAACGTTTATTAGAGCCCAGCGTGGAATCAAAATCGGTGAACCAACATCTTGTGTTAGATTATTCCAATCGAATACCAATGAACCCATGCCAAGTCCATTATAACCAGTTAGTTGAGCAAGAATAACATTCTTTGGACTAATCATGCACATCCAAGAAAATGACGCTAATACCGGCATGATGTAACCAGGGAACCAGTAATAGATCGCCTGACATATAGCAGCCAATAAAAAAAATTTTATTCGAGACAGCTTTAGCCATCGAACACTTGTTGATTGTTCATCTTCATGAAGTGTACGTAATAGCGCAATCACAGGTAAATTAGCAGGCCAAATCATCGGTGATGGCCAAACAAGAAACCGACGCAATACGCCTAAAAACGATGCAACAAAATATTCAATACCAGAAGCGTTTACCAGTAAAGACAATCAATCTAATTTGATTCTCAATGCTAACATAACAGATCAGTTACACTTACAGATGCGGATCAAAACCTTTGCAACAAGAACTAACAAAATTTGTTCTCGAAGGTCTCTCACGGTCCAAAACAGAAATGTCGATTTATTCAACGCTAGTGCTAACAAGGCATCTTTCTATTGAAACCTTGATCGGCAAGTATTAACACTTTGCGTAGAATAGTATTTATCTGTTAACCAAAGTGTGGCTTGACTCTTTGGTTGAAACTCGAAATTCGTGGATTCTCACTTTGACATCTCACCTTTCGCTAGATATAAACTTTGAACTATATGCAAAGTGTTGATACTCACCAATCAAGGTTTCAATAGAAAGATATCTTGTTAGGATTAGCGTTGCAGTGATGTCCGAGAAATAGTCCTTTCTCTTTACCTGCCATTCCATATCCCATCAATTGTGAAGATAATGCGAGCAATAGTCCCCATGCAAAATATGTTTTTTGATAATAGTAGGCCTGCTTAACGATTACTATATCGTTAGCTGCTACTATTTCACTGGCTATATAAACCATTATATAAACAATCGCATGCTCCTTAATCGTGAATGGACATGGATTGAACGAAACTTTCCATTCCAAGATATTGAAGTGTCTTTTCGGTAAACACCACCCCAATAGTTTACCGATTGGAAATGTCAAAAGTAAAAGTACAAATGGTGGTACCGAATAGGAATACCTTTTATAAAGTAAATATTTATTAACTAATGATACGAGTCCAGCGTACAAAACACCAATTAAACAACTACGAAACGTTATAGTAACCATATCATAATCGTCCTTGTTCGACACTATACCAGCTATTTCTTCATAAGATGATTGTTCACAATCAGTGTAATTATTTAACTCATCTCCAAAGACGTCAGGCGTGTGATCGTACAGAAAGAAAACATCATCAGGCGATGTTTGATTCTTTTCACCCTGCTGATCGTTGCATCGATGATCATGGTTATGACGGTGATCTGGTTCTATGGTACGCGGAGCTTGGTGGTTTCCGTTCATTAAATAAGTGTATATGATATTCAAAATTGAGAAAATAATTTGTAGTATGGTCTATTTCAAAGTAGAATGGAAGGACGTTAAGTAACTTGCTAAAGACAGATAATAGTAAGATGCTGTTTCTGCGGTTCAGGGATCCAGAAACGCCGACTTCACAATGTCTATTGATTTTTTATTCAAATCTTAGTGAATTTTAAAAAATTCTCTACTCTGTTTCTGTTCTTCGAAAATAAGCAGTGGAAGGACCGAGAAAATTATTTAAAACTCAAAATTTTTCAACTTTCGCAAAGTAAATAAGGTAAAAAACCAAAATTTCCGCAAAAAATCTGACTGTTTTAGAATAGACTTTTCTATTTGTTGACAGATTTCGGTCTCCACTTATATTCAGCTGTCCTCCACTCCTCAAATAAAACATGTTTCTTCATCATAATGCTTTTATTTAGAAATACCTAAAACGCTGAGTACGAGACCAAAGTCAAAACTTTTCTCTTTGTAGATGGTACTAGTCATATGAAAATAACATTTTTCTCTACTTCTCTAAGTGTACCATTCGAAAGAGCATTCAAAACTGATTCAGATTCCACGGGGGTCGACTATACGCATCGTCTGGGGCACCGTAGAAAAATTCGATCAAAAATCGCGTATTTTGATCGGATATAAAACTTTGATGTTTGATGTTTTTACAAAAACTTTCGTATTGAAAAAAATAAACGCTGATTACTAGAATATGAAACCGCCATCGGATAGAGCACTTAAAACTGCATCGTCCCATCGATGATCCTGATGAAGACCGTCTGACTCTATCTCGAATGCCTTGCGAGGAGCGCGCTCGTTTCCGTCTCTTTTAATGCTGGCAATACATCGATTTATTTAGACTTGAAAGACAACAGCTACATCGTATTGTTATGAGGGGATATGCTGAAGGAAATTTTTCAGAGACTACTATGCTGTAAAGCTTGTCAAATTACCTTCATTAAAGTCATAAATTCTTTTGCACATAAACCTTAATAATTAGTGAGGAGCAAACTAGTATAGTGGTAGACGGTATATTCATAAAAGTTAAGGCAGTTTATGAATTACCTTTCATCTGTTTATTCTCACCTATGCTCAGTAATGCGGAACGAATGGATTTTTTCGCTTAGATGGAAACAGAACATATTTAAACAAATCACTTCAGTCCAGCAGTCCAAACTTGGCTCTCTCGTTTACAAAGCACCTAAATGAACACAGAAAATATCGTTGCATATTTTAACAAAATTAATTATTTTACAATACGTGAAACAATTCCATCATCATGTGTCTGTTCCGCATCGCTGAGCCGAGGTCGGAGCAATTAGGTTCCTCCTTTTTCGAGCACCATTAAATAAGACGCTTTTTTATTTATTTGCTCGAACCTAGGCCCACTGATGCAGAACAGACACATGACGATGGGATTGTTTCACTTAACTGTAAACTTTGCAATGATGATTAATTTTGTTAAAATATGCAACGATATGTTTGGTGCTCATTCAGATGTTTTGTAAACGAAAAAGAGCCAAAGGACAGGATGGAAAATGCTGCAGGAATTGGCCCCTCCTCAAAATATTTTAATTTTAATGTGGATCGATAGAGAATTCAATCTGATGTAATTTTCCGTATTTGTGGGCGGTCCGAAATGCATTTGTATTTCGTTTTTTCTCTACCATTCAGCCTTTAATCACAAGCTATTGCTAGTGTAATTCTTGTAGCTCTTTTCACGAGCTATTTTTCAGGGAGGGTGAGGGTGAACTCTGTCAATTAATATATATGAAAAAAAATTACATTTCCAGTTCTTATCGACATTAAATTATTAACGGTAATCTAGCGTAAAAAGGTTGAAAATTTATTATCGTTTATTTTTTGCAACAAAATGCATTTCGGACTTCCCAATGATATGGACAACTACATAGGATTAGTTAAACTAGAAACGCAATTTTCTTTCAAAATATTCGTTTCTCAAAAGAGATACTTCTTAATTGATTAAAAGAGATACATTGTAAAATATAGATTTATATATCTTATGGGAGTAAAAAATAGCATTATTTTACATTTATTGATATTCAACCGAAGTTTCCAGCCCACCGTCCAGTAATAAATAGTTACTAAATCTTTATTTATTTCATTAACAGCAAAACACAAATGACAAATCAATTGACAAATCATTTTGCTTAGTGATACAAAATAAGGATGTATCATCGGCAAAGAGTTATATTGTGGAGCCAACACAATCAGTAGTATCATCAATGAATATTAAGAAAAACAAAGGCCCCACGAAAGCCCTGGGGTACACTACTCTCTTGGCAGATGAGATAAAACACCCTGTACTGCAGTCATAATCTCTCAATTAGACAATAACTAGGAAACCAGTGAAGGAGTTATGCAGGAATTCCTTGGCTTTTCAACTTCAATCAACTCTAATTGCCATACACTGTCGAAAGTTTTACGAAAGTCAAGAAATGCTGCCAGAACATGTTCGTTATGACGAAAAGCCAACAATATCTTATGAATTATGGATACTAACTGACTGATAGTAGAATTTTTTTTTGCGGGATGTGTTATTAATATTTACTCTACTTTATGAGCAGTTTATCATTATAATGTACGTCTGATAAGTTGTGACATATTAAAATTTGATGATTGTTTCTTCGATTACTGCTGTCTGAAAACACACTTTTGACTCCTCTTTCAAGCTCGGACCAAAAATTAACCAGAAGCCATAAGTTAGCTTTCGATCAGTGTTAATGTCTGACATTCACTTCCAAGACACTCGCATCTACATAACGGTTTTGAGGGGAAATTGGCTTAAAAGAAAAAGTTCTTGAGAAACCGTCGACACAATTAAATTCATCATTTGTAACCAGCACAAGGTAGTATTTAAGTTGATTATGCACATGTTTTACTAGGAGAGTGTATGAGTGAGGAGGTAACAAAGGTCTTCTAACCATAAAAAAGGCCGTTTTGTCCTAGAATAGATGAAAAACACTCTTTCATATCTACAGCACATCAGTATGGAAGAAAAAAACAACTCCAAGATTCAGTATCAGTAACAGTGTTCAATACAAGCGGTTTGCCTGTATTGTGTTCTACTAAATTATTCAGCAGCGACTGCTGTTATGTGAATGTTACAACTACAAGAAGTGATAAAGGCTGACTGTGGTTTATTGTAATCGCAAAACATTTTGTCCTGCTAATCTTTATGATCATGACTTTTTCGCAGATTACTGGCTGTCGGCTTCTTGAAAAATGCTGGCATTAAATGGAATGTAGTGCTCTTACATTATCAGCATACGGAGAAAGAAAAAATGTTCTTCTCATTCTTTTCTCTCCCAACTTCTTTTTTTCTGTTCTTCATACGTGAAGTTTCTATAAGTTGCCAATAACACGTTGTTGAATAAGTGGACCAATATTCTACAAAGGAGAGATCTAGTAAGATCGAAGCAGACAAGATATAAGCATGGATCTGCTTCTTGTGAAATGCTGACATTAAAGTGAATGCTCAAAATGAGAACTAAGTAGTTTGTTAATTTTTCCTGATTTAGACATGGCGTCGGATTTTCTGACAGGTTCACAATCAATATTCAATCACAAAAATGAATGGAAGCATCGGTAATTGATCACGCCAAATCTCATGGCAACGTTTATTTTCAGAAGAAAATTCAAAAAACACTTGAAAACCTCTGTTAAGTGGAATAAAGCACTGCTGACAGTTTCTCAGTAGAATTAGAAAATTCATGTCTCGGTCAAGTTGATGGCCCAATGATCGAAAGACAAGCGACATGAGTACAGATATGAAAGGCAGAGCTAAGGTTTTGTTCTGTTATGTTATGATAATTGATTACGCAGGTTTTACTTCCAAGCAGATCAAAGCGTGAGTGAAGGACAATGGCCTATAGTGTGATTGACTATTGCATTTTCCCAAGCAAATATCACCTACGAGAAAAATCTAGATACATTTCGCCTGTAATTGGGCGACACATGACTAGTTGTCATCTAGATTACTAGTTGGAAAAGGGACTTTTAACGTCTGGAGGTGCATCTACTAATAGTTGAATTGATCGATTATCGAGCGATAAATCGATAGATGTAACTAGAAAAAATCTAGTAATCGCCCAATTACTAGATTTCCACTGTCGTTACACAGTAGTTGCAATCGAGTAAAAATCTAGTAATCTAGATGAATCGGGCGATACAAGATTTTTTTTTTATGCTTGGGTTATTGGGAATAGAACGTAATAAAGCTATTATATAATCGTCATTTTGCTGCTAGCGAACGATTGTTAAGATTATTTGCAAGTTCAGTTGATCCTGTTATTCCTGGCATTTGTGCCACGGTCGCCGTTGTCGAATGAATCTGGATCAATCTAATCAAATGTTTTATTTGTGGTGTTATATAAAGTGTAATTGTTGCAATAATTATTAAACATTTTGTTTTGCGTGCTCTTACCAATCAACAAAGAATTTCTCGCACTACAAGTTCATATATATATGATAGTGAAAAAAGTGCCCTAGGACCCCTTGACATTAGAAATACTGTTTGGAAAGCTGTGAAAAGTAGGTGGCTTATTCCGCGATGAGGATCCTATAATCAACGTTTCTCAACTAGCCACTACGATAGACATACCATTCAATAGAGAATTTCACGAGCTTCAAAATGAGCTAGCTATAAATATATCTTTCAGAAATATATCCACATGGGTCAACTGTTGAAACACTTGGCCAATATAATGATTCTGACGTATTCTAGTGGTTTCAATACTCCGTTAGTCTTTTTTCTGCCATAATGAAAATTATATATTGTTCGAAAACATACCACTGCATAGCTCTAGAAATTCTCTATAAAGTGAGCTGGTCACAATGTACAGACAAGTGGGACCAGCCATTAAAGATATGGAAAGAACCTTTTGGATGTTATCTAAGCACTACAGTGTGTCATAATCACAAGAACTCTCTTGTTTTTGACCTTTTAGCGAAAGCTGGAACCAATC